ATGGACGGCACAACATCATTTTGAATGCCACTTCATTTTGAAATCATTTTAAATGGTTTCGCGCTTGATATGAAACTGACAGAAAATAATAGAAACAATGCAGGAAATACAATTTTAATAACATGTGCAAACTTCAATCCTAATGTGACAGCTTTACTTAACGAACAAATCCTTCATCATTTATTTATCCTTTATTTATTCACGTGAATTGCTTATGAGTCAACGTGAAAAGGACGCACAAAAGAGTTCAGCTCTTAACAAGTGTATGTACCCCAGAGTTATTAAAGTCTAAATAAGAATGAGAAATAAAGAATTTAAACATGTATAAACCAGTAAATCTTGAATTTTTAAATTAAATTTTGTGTATGTAGCATTTGGCCAAATACACAACGTATCAGTTCGAACACCGAAGATGGTATAGGAATACTGATAAAAGCTTTTTTATTCTATTTAAATAGTTTACCATGCTTAAAATAAATAAAAATTTTTGAACTCAAGAAACATGACAATGATTTACGATCTGTGGTTGGAAAAATCTAAAAATTAAACAGGAAACTAACTAACGCGAAACATGCTGTGATTTTCATCAATGATTGCTTTTCTGACAGTCTCAATCCAATACATACATAGAAACTAATTTTTGCATTCAACTGTTAATGAAAAATTAATTATGCGTTTGTTGACTTTTGTTAGTCCCAAGCAATCAAATTATATGTGTGACATATTCTCTAAGTTGGCTTCTGTTATTGTGCTCACAATTTTATTTTTTCTGATTTCGTTGTTATCTTTCAATGTATGCAACTGCACTGTCCTTCTAAATCTTTTGTAGCAAAAATTGTTTTCCATTCTATAATTTGTCAATATGTTTTTTTCAGTTTAAAGAGCATTTATTTTTAAATAAGACGGCAATAATATTTATGTAACTTCCCAAAAAACTTTCATTTGTGAATATCCGGCTATTGGCATTGTAATTATTCACTTATCACATATGTGTGCAAATAAACAGATGTTCATCCAGTTGTTCATTTAGTTGTTTGAAATGATTAAAATGTTTATTTCAATCTGCCTCTGCCTGTCACCAAGAGAATTACATTTTGAAAGATGTATACGCTTAAAAAATTTTATCTTTCTAGAAAGAAATGTGATGATGCTGATGAAATTTTTAAATGGCACTTCAAAACTGCAGGGTATATTTGGACTTTTCATCGGATAAGGAATTGGTCTGACCGGATGTATTTTGAGTGAGGGAGTTAGCAGCTCACCTACCCGCATCACATTCTATGCACACTTTTGTTTCCATAAAAAAAACTTGTCAACCATATTGTCGCAGTCACCAGCTGAAAAAACAAACAAAAGCACAAACACTCACACACAAACACACACACACATGCGCGCGCGCATCCTGCCACGTTTCATTGCACACCTTCGTAGACTCATTAGTGTAATAAAGCGATAAACTAATTGGCGAAGAATTAACTAAATAAGTAACACCGTCGCTAGGAAATGATGGAAAGACTGACAAAACCGACCAAATAAATGAACTAATTAATTAATCAATTAATTATTGAATAAACGAACGAGCGAATGAATGAAGGTTGGAATAGTACGTTATTGGTCGAAATAAATTTGAACGTTTTTTGCAGAAACTCTGTATGAGGTTGATTGATAATGATGTTAAAGATTATGATAAAGATAACGATGGCAACGGCGACGATGAGAATGATGATGGTGATGATGACGGTGATTTTAGCAACTGTCCTCGTTAATTGCTTCCGCAGCGGCCTAGTGATGCAACGTTGTCTCAGACTAAACAGGCAGGCAGGATGGGCTAAGTGGACGCAACAAACAATTTCACACTCAGCATCAGTGAATGATTACTTTAGCCATCTTCTATAATATTATTAGTCAATTTAATATTAGTGCAGAGAAGCAAGCCTCAATTTTTCACGGTACAAGTTCAGATAGATATAAATTGCAAAAAGATAACTTCCATTCACACTTACTGAGTCAGTTAACTCTCTCTCTCTCTTTTTTTTTTTCTCTCTCTCTCTCTCTCTTTCACTAAGCATCGGAAGATATTTAAATTGTATTATTTAAAATTCCGTCCTCTGAAAGTTACAAATAATGTAATTGAAAAATTAGACAATAAAGTGAGATAAGGAAAACTATTGAAAAGTTCCCAAGAAGTTGAACTATTTTTTGTACATGAAATAAACGACGCAAGTGCTTAAATAGCATCTGGATGAGGAATGCGCAAGACCAATGTGGAAACATGTTGGTCACAAAATTTGAATAGCAGTTCAACAACATATAAAATACAGGCATCATGTACAAAATATGCAAACGATAAAAATTAAACAAAGCGAAGGCACGCGCACACACGCATACTTGTAGTTGTTGGTTGTAGGTACAACATTGCGCTTAAATACACCCTAAACGCCGAGGCATGAATGAAACACGACCAATAAAGAGGCATTCTCATTAGATTACATGCATGCACTCATGCATGCATGCATATTACATGCTGCATTCATTCATTTATGTATATTTCATGCTACTTTCAGTTATTCATGCATATTTCATGATACATTCATTCACTCATGCATATTACATTTATTCTTTCATGCATCTAACTGTAGTTAGATGCATGAAAGTCAAAGCTTATGCGATAGTTAATTAAGGAATCGATGTTGATGTGGAAGATTAATTTAGAGCTTAAATATTGCACTGGACAAAGTTTGTGTTAATCTGTCTCTATATCTGAAATGTCATGTAATTAATTAACTAATTAATTATAAAAAAATGCTTATTTATAATAATTAAACAAAAAAACAAACAATAACAACGACAAAAAAGCTAACAAACACAAGCAGCAAGTTTAGCGAACAGCATGGCTTATTCAACTTGATGTCTCTGTGTGATGTAGATGGAGAAATTTGTTGATGCCCACTTGTGAAGATTGATGAAAACTTCTTCATGTCGAAAGATTGCAAAGAGGTTTGCGTGCGTGCGAGTGTTTGTGTGTGTGCGCGCGTGCTTGTGTGTATTTGTGTTTTTGTGCATGTGTATGTGCCTGTGTCTCACTCATGAAAGATTTGTCAATGGTTGAACGTTTAGTTTTATTTCAAACTCTAGTAAACAGAATCAACGAAAAAGTCAACCATTGCTAAAAAAGTCTGCACAAGACGACGATTGCATGTTGTATAAAATAAAAATGTCTTTTTTTTAATTACAGCTAAATCAGTGCTGATTCTGGATTTGAAGATTTTTATCAAAACGGTTTTAAAGGCGTCATGCCTGTTTTTGAAATAAATGAATGAAATAAAATAAATTAAAATTTCCAATGAATAATAAATGAGTTTCTGAAATGCAGATGAGAAATTAATTCAACTTTCAAATGTTCAACTTTTTTAAATAAAAATTTGTTATTTTTATTCCCAATGATTGCTCCAACCTGATGTTAAAAATATTTTACTGACGTGCTTTTGCTACTAACTATTCGCCAGCATACATTATAATCTGTTGTTGGGTACAAAAATTGAGATGATTTAAGCGCATCTAAAAAACAGAGCAATGTTGGTGCGTCAGTTGAATTTGTGCTGGAATTTTTTCAACTTCTCATCGTCTTCAGCATGTTGAAATGATATAAAAATCGTAAGTTAAATTGATTAAAGTCGAGATTAGGATAAATTATTTTTTGATTTGATTAAATTAATTTAAAAATTTTAAATAAAAAGAAATTTAAACCTGCAATTTTTCATTTTCTCACTGCTAATTAAATTAAAGAACATGACTGGTGTCAAATTATTCAGAAGGGAATTAAATTTGCATGGCCGTTCTGTCAGTTGAAGGGAACGCTTGAAATGGCTCGAAATGTGCAAACTTTTCTTGCAAAAAAAAATTATATAATGTTTTTATTGTTTGTGACAAGCGGTTGCGTCTCAATGACATTCAAATGTATCTACGTATTTTTAGACATTTCGTTGAACGCTAAATTCTTTTCAAATATTTTAACTGGACAACATTTTGAAATATTTTGTGATACTGCAAAAGTTTTATGATTTAGATGAGTTAAATTTAAACAACAAATATTTAATTAAATTTGCATTAACCAACGTAAATTAAATGTGCGTAATTTGATATTGATCGCTTCGATAAAAATATTTGTCTCACGAGCCATTTACCCATACCCAACAAAACATTTATTATTACTTTTATTAAACATTATTATTACTGTTATTATATTACCGAAACCTATTTTCAATTTATTATACATTTACGTCAGGTAGAATTTTTAAAGTACAAAAAACAAAAATTGAATCCTACAATTGGGTATCGTAACAGCAAACATATCATGCAATAATTTGTAAAAATTTTAATAGATGCATTTAGACCACACGCGTCGTTCATATCGTCCAGCGAAAAACACGTTCGTCACTCAACTTCCTTGTATGCTAAATAATTTTTTTCATCCAATAAATTGAACAAGCTTTTTTATACTACGTTACGAAAATAATGTATTTAATAGAAGCAGGTTTTTGAGTGCGTGTATGTTTAGTGTGCTCCTTCTGGCTTTCTGTTTATTGAAAGACCGTATGATGTTTTTTTGTACTTTGTTTTTTTTCTACTTAATTAGGTAACTATTGAACTAACGGCTGCAACAAATTGTGACAAATGTTATTTTTTCAGCTGAATGTTGTGGTTATATATTTCTAAATATATTCATTTAAATATAGAAAATGAAACGATATTTTTTGTTTGCTTCACCATTTTCAAAGCATATTCAAAACTGAAAACATAAATTTTGAATTAAACTAAAAAAATTTATTTTTAGAACTATGCTAAGTTGAATGAAAAGCTATTTATATACTATAATTAACGTAATTCCAAATCTCTATTTCGTTTTCATTTATTTGAACTGAGGAACTGTATTCAATTTAAAAAATTAATGAAAGCATTTAATGAAATTAAAATGCGTTAATATATTTTACTTGATGGCCTCACTTGAAAGCACACCTACTCCAGTTTAATGCAAATCTTTGCTCTAATTTACATAATAACATGATTAATTTTAAAAATTTGAATCACTGACTCTCGCATAATAAATACATAGGAAATAATTTATTTTTAAAATAATAAACTAATGTTTACTAACTAAATTTAAGGAACTAAAGAAATTAAGAAGATAATGACAATTTAAAATAGTTGAAACAACCTGTTATATAATTTGACAGGATTGAGAAGGCACGCCAGAGAGTTGAAAATAAAGGTTGTTATAAATACCTCACCCAGTCAAACAGAAAGATCGCATTGAATAACACGATTAATTATTAGTACAGTGGACAAATTTTGGTGAAAAAAACGTATTTTTTAAAATTTTAACAAGGCTGTGCGGGTACATCGCCGGCAAAGGCCGTGTGATTACATATATAGTAAAAAAATAAATTAAAATACTGTTAAAACTTTAAACGCACACTTTCCACTCATCATATCACGTCTCAACTTTACTTATCATCATGAGTATGTCATATCGTATCACTCACTCATCTACGCTAACTATTATCTCATACCATACATTACATTATCTATACTCATTACATAGTCCTCACATCCATTTCACTCAATCATCTTCCCTTACAGCATTTCTCCTCTTTGCTTATCATCTTAACTCATCATATTGTTATCATCTTCTTCATTCATCACGCTACCTTCCCTCGTCATCATCTCATCTTCAGATTACTCATTCATCGCATAACTTCCACTCATCACATCATCATCTCACCTTCGTAGTACACGATGCAAATTCGCCACAGACCGGAATGGGAGTGCATGTCGTAAGTGGAGTTGGGATCAAGGAAGTCCACATCATCCTCATCATCGTACTCATCATCTTCCTCTTTTTGCTTGTTTTTACTCTGCTTCGATTTTTTCTTCACAGTTTCATCATCGTCGTCATCTTCGTCATCACCGTCATACTCTTCGTCATCAGTGCCAATGATATTTCCGTCACTATCATCAATGTTGCCATCTTCATAGTCATAGACTTTATCATTTTCGTCATCACCATCATAAATGTTGGATGACTGTACGTCGTCAGTGTGCTGTTCGTCGACTGCGTAATTAATTTGTTGCTGATGTTTTTGTTGTTGATGTTGCTGTTGTTGTTGCCGATGTTGTTGCTGTTGCTGGTTTTGATGGTCATCATATTTATGAACCGTCATGCGTTCATTTATCTCGTAGTCACGTTGTTGTTGTTGGTGGTGACGATGACGTTGTTGTTGTTGTTGTTGACCACGATTGTGTTCTTCTTGATTAAGATGATTATGTTGTTGTTGTTGCTGCTGCTGCTGCAGAATGTGATGATTCGGTTTTCTCTGTTTGGTTTGATGTGATGACGTTGAGTTTTTATTGGCGTTGTAGTCGTGGCGGTAAAAAATGTTGGTGTCGTTATGGTTCCTACTCTTGGTTATGTAGTCAATGTTTATATTTCCATGGTTACGAACCACTGAGTTGTTCTTGTGGTTGCTGTTTTTTCCAATGACGTTGTTGTTGTTGTTGTTGATGTTGTTGCGATGTTGATTTGGTCTGCTGTTTGTGTTGTTTCGTTTGTTTTTCAACACTCTGTCATGTTTGATGTAGCTTGGAGCTGTTCGATCTTTCGGTTTGAAAGCCATTTTTCTTCCAAACTTTTTCAATTTTTTCATCTTATCATCCTCTTCTTGAGATATTTTATCATCATTTTCTTCGTCGTCATCGTCGTTTTTCGCGTAGGCTGCCGCATCTGGAGCAGCTGGAGCCAAATTGTCAATGGTTCCTGGAGACGAAGCATTTTATAAATTAATAAATTCTCAATCGCTTTGTTATACATCAATTATTTTAAATGCAATATTTGAAGCTCAGCAAACAAACAATCATTAACCTGTACAAAATAGATATAGATAAAGTATAAACAACGTATTCAATTAAAATTCAAAACAAATATTTCGCCAGTAGAAACGTTCCGGGAGGAATTGAAACTTAAGGATGGCGTTATGATTTGGTTCGTATCAAATAACTCACTATCCGCAGAAATAACAACGAACAAATAACAAACATCCATACGAACAGAGAAACAAACAAACGAACAACATGCACGAACACTAATGCAAATGTAAAGGCCAGCATTTAATTGGTTCACACAAATTTTAACGTGTTAAAGAACGACCGGGCCATAAATATTTACGCTGGGATTTACAACATGAATGTGAAGTAATGAGCAGGCCGAATGCGATGCATTGTCCTATTAACCAGGGTCTACAAGTCTCATCGTCATCTTCTTTTTTTAAGGAAGCGGTTGATCACATTTTGAATTTTATTTTCTTTATTTTCTTTCTTTATAATCACGATTCAAGTGTTTTGAATCAAAATTAAATTTTTTACGCAATGTGTTTTATTTTGTTCATCCCATTAATTTACTTTTTAATCCGTGTTTTTTAGTAATTATTCTCTATAGTTTATTACATTCCTTTCAAATAACTTCATTTCATTCAGCCATATGATTGAATCATATTTTGACGAAATCTGGAGACATGTGCGGTATGGAAGTTGGAACTGCGCGCATCTCAATTATAATTATTCAAGGAACCTCTAAATTATCTCATGAAACACTCCTACAAGTTCTGTCTCACTCCCAAAACACGGAGACTGCCTGGATGTTATTTTATCTCAAACGTGTTATGACTGTGTGTCGTTACATGATTATTAATCTAAGATGATTTATGTGCATTATTTTTAGAAATACTGTTGTTACAAATTTTGCTTTGTTAAATATCTATTCATTTCCGTTATCCAAAATAATAAAATGTTATTTTCGTATTCACGACTTGCCTTTTCTTATAAAAGCAATGTTAAATCACAAAATCACTTGTTGTTTGACACGTTGTTAATCTTTTTTCGCAGCCGTTTGTCACCTTGTTTGATTACATCCCATCAGTTCAACTTATTTTAAAATGGCCATTTTAATTTTATCTGTTAACTATTTTTTATCGTGTCATTTAATTTTAAAATGTTTGTTTGCCTCACATAGCCAATCGCTAAATTTGTATGTAGCATAATGTTGCACATCAGACAGCCTTGTTTCATCGTACGAACGTATTCTGTTGTTGTTGTTGTTGGCCCTGTTATAAAACATATCGTCATTTCAATTCTTTGTATGTTTTCATGTTGATCATTCATGAATAGAAATTTGTATCCAATTTATAAACAAAATAGATGCCAGCGAATAAATTGATATGCTGAACAATAAGTGATAAATACTTATATTGTTTTTGTTGGTCCAGTATAATGAACAGGCATCCAACACAATTATTCAAATGTTACAATTTGCTAATTTACAATGATACATCTATATACACATGTGCACGCACATAAACTCACAGGCACACGTACACAATCCTCACATACAAACGTGCATAGATCTACTTCTAGGTAAACACAAACACATAAGCATACACACAGTCACATACGTAGAGGCACACATGCATGCGTCCAAGTTAACATCTAACAAAACACATAAGTGTAATAGTTAATGAATAATGGCTACCTGAAGTTTTAAACCGGTGCAAAATAATTAGCTTAACGCAAAACATGGTAAACTTCAAACTTCAACAACATTATCCTGCAGTAACAAATAAATATTATAAATAATTTATACTGAAATTTCAGAAAACTCTTGTTTCAAGTGCACATTATTTGTTCGCACGCCTGTGTCGTGCCGCTTGTAAAGAAGTGCAGAAGAAGAACGTTGTACACATAACACATACATGTATTCATCACGTGCTTATCTTATTAGATTATCCTATACACAAACGCCCAGAGCAGTTTTAATTTATTCATTATAATTTTTAGTTTATCATTCAGTCTAGTTGATTAAATCAGAGTTGTAAGTTTTTTGGGATTATATTTATCTACTATGAATGTTTAATTATTATTAACCTGCTCTACAATTGCAAATTGGTTCATCAAACCAGTTAACTTTTCGAACAGAGTGAATATTTTTCAAGCAGGGACACGAGGAAGAGGAATTGAAGTTTGATTGACAGGAGGGATGGGAAGGAAATTGTAACAGATTCAAACAGGCATTTCAGTTATCCGCACGTGCCAAACCTTCACCAATATAGCAGCTATTTCAACAATTTTTCCATTAAATTATTGAAAAACATTTTAAAACTAAAAAAAATAAAAGTGAAAATTTGTTGTTCTCATCAACAGATATATAAATATATAATGTATTTCATGTATATCTTTTTAGAACAAGCAAATATTTTGCAGCACGCATATTAAATATTTTAAATAATTTCATCACCCTCAATAAGGAAATTAGATACAAAAAAAGACGAAATACGAACAAGAAAAAATATTGAAAACTAAAATATTATTTAATAAATTTTAAAACCGAAAAAACAAAAAAATTTACATTGAAAACTATTTTTTTACACCGGGAAACAGAAACACTCAACTCTAAGAAGAAAAAACATTGCGACATGAATATTTAAAGCAGCACAGCGGCCACCAGATTTTTCTCAGTCAAAAACACCAACAGCAGTGGAAAAGAATTAACTTTCGTAAAAACTTTACCTCAAGTAGAAAGAATTATTCATTTCTATGAGTAAGAAACTCCGTAGGTTGTTGTAGATACATCTTTTCTAGCATCGTACATCATGCATCATACATCATGCATTGCTGTTTTATACGTATGTTTTATTTCATAATACATTAGAGCACCATGCACATATAACGTTTTATGGTGTGTATGAATAATACAGTGTGAATAAAAATAAAAAAATATTATGATGATTCTAAATATTTATATTTTAAAACAAATGTTGCGATATATTTATTTTTTTAGTTTTTTTTTAAATAATTCACCATCCTGAAATAGAATGCCCATCTTACATCCCTGTGAAAATGCAAACGGTAATTGTACTATGTAAAATAAATCTTGCGTTAAAATTATTCAATAAAATGCTTGTGTTTTTAAAAGCTAAAAATGGACATCTATGTAAAGTGCCTGAGACGAAATATACATATTTGCACAATCCTACAACATTTGTGATGTGAATTTTCATGTCAATAGTTCAGCATGTTTGGTCGTTATGATACAAATTATGTACAGATTTATGTAGGTGCGCCAAAACATTTTTGTCTTTATGACATTTAACGTAAGGTTCTACGCATACTTTAAAAAAAATCGACCATCTATCAAGAAAACAACACAAATTTTGAAGAACTTGTTATGTATTTTTATGCAAAATTTTAAAAATTATTTGAATTACATTTCATCCTTATTGATGCAAATTACAGTAGAAAATTTCTGATACAATTTTAAAAGTTCAAGCCCGGTGCCAAAAAGAAATGAGGGTTTTTTTGAGTTTAGTCATGCCATTTCATTTGTTCTTCAACGTGACAATCCTCCGAAAAATGTTTAAGAGTGAATTTAAATAAATATATAATATATTACAAAACAAAGTTTCCAAAGTTTATTACAGGAAGGTTTGATTGAACAAATTTTTAAAGCTAATTGTCATTGGAGAGCGAGTTTGATTGGTGCTGAATCTGACAATAACCCGGGTTGGTTTTTATTTTATCCAGTTTGACGTGCAAGCAAATGTACCCACTTAAAATCTTTCAACGCAGTAAATGTTTTGCGTTAACAGCCTGGCCAGATAACATGCGACCGACATAATTGATCGTTTAAAATCGATTAATGTTGAGACACTGCCCTGTTAACTTGCTTTTTAAAAGAAAGTTGAATGACGTTTGACCTGATGACTACCAGCCATCAGCATTGTTTTCATTGTATATTGATGCAAAATGTACTTAAACATATGCTAAGATGACTTGAGCATGTACAAGACTTTGGTATCGCTTTCATGTTATCATTTATAATAATTTCTTTGAAGATTAATTTCGCAAATGTGCTGCCTCACTATTTTTAATTTGTGTCATTCTATGTCATGCTACGTTGGGTTAGGAAACAAACATTTAACAAAACTGAAATGGTTGGAACATCGAAAATATTTCAATATATGACATCGTTTTAATGATTTTTGAACACACCTACATGTTTGTGAATTGATCTATAGGTATATATGTACACGTGCAATTTACATCTACGCACATTAAGTTTATAAATATTTAGTAGAATCTGCAATAGTAAACGATCGTGAGCAGACCCGTCTTGAAGGTTGAAGAGGCATTCAGTGATTCGCAACTGGAATCCCTGGCGGCTGTTGCCGAGCAAGATGCCAACGAAACCATCAACGCGCACCGATGATCGCTGCTTGTTCTCCACGGCGGAATTTTATGAAATTGACATCTGGCTTGTTTGTGATTGCTCTAATGCTTGCTACAGATATAAAAAAAATGGACAAATATTCTATTAAAGTATTATTTGACGTTGTAGAGAGAACAATTGTTAAAACGGAAAAACTACTCCAGGACCGTTTCATTGAGCTGTGAAGACATGAAAATTGAATTTAAAAGTGAACTGGGACTGACCGACCCATTAACTTAACTCTAGATACTTCTTGTGCTTGATACCCACACACACATACACACACACACACACACACACCACACACACACAACACTCACACACAACACACACACATCCGCAAACATTCATGTGCCCACAACATCACACACACACGCTCATGTAAATTTATGCAAATTCATTTTTCCGAAGTAAAATTTCTTTTAAAAAGAGCTTTTAGATAAAATAATATGAAAACAAGAAAAAGAAAGAAAACGTATTGAAACTTAAAAATACCTAAACCCCATATTACTTAATTGTATAATATTTTTATTCTACAAATATTTATAGAAAATTGTAAAAAATAAAATGAATTGGCCCACTAAATAGAAGAATGAGTGAATGAATAAATGAACAAAATTAAAAACAAAAAGGGAAAATTAAATAAGAGCGATCGGCGAACTTTTGGTTCAGTTGAGACTGCTTTAGGCAGCTCATTCTACTGAGTGCGTGCGTTCTGCTGAATTGAGTTGGAAAATTAAAAATTTATAGATGGATTTGAGGTTTTGACATCATTTTGAAGATTCTAGCCTGGGTGTTCTTGCTTTGGAGGTCATGGATAATCTGTTTGAGTTGTTCCTTCAGGTTGGTTTGTTTCAGGATGTTTCGCGGATATATTTCCACGTCTGCATGATTTTGCATGTAGTTTTTTGTTTCCATATTATTATTCAATAATACACTAGGGTTTATCTCAGTGTTTTGTATATTTCGAAATTATGTGAATGTACATGCAGGGCTCCATCAGCGTCAGGTTTCTGATATTTCATTTAAAAATTTTTGTACAGTTTCTATGGTACAAAAAAATGTTTCAATTATCTTCATGCTATTTACGGTGTTAATATTGATTTTTTTTTTAATTTTTGCTTTCTGTAAGATAAATAAGAGATTTAAAAAATGAATTAACCAATGAATGAATGAACAAATTGAAGGAAGAAAAATAAATAAACAAACCAGAGAAAGAAAAAAATGAATGAATGAATGAATGAATGAATGAATGAATGAATGAATGAATGAATGAATGAATGAATGAATAATTGAACAAAAAATGATTGAAAAACTGGTGTTTTGGGGAAAGTTGAATTGATTTAATGGCAACCGCTGAATTAACGTGAATTGAATTTATGTTGTAAAGAATTTAATATGAATCCCGGTGATTTTTATAATCCATGAAAAATGTCTGTAGATTTTTAAATAATTGTTATTTGTCTTTGGAAATATGTTTGCACTGCAACAAAAAATAGAAAGAGAGAATTGTTTATACAAATTACATTTACTTATTGTTACGTGTATTCTGTAATAAGCATATTTTTTTCATTCTTAATATTTTTAATTTGAAAAAGTTTCCAACGTTCCAAATATGTTTGTATAAAGAATTTTCATGAAATGTCTTTCCGAAAATAATTTACAATTTTAGGAGCATACATCTTAGAAAATAAATTAAAAATAATCACTGGGCACAAACGCTGTCTCGTCTCACCTACAGTCAGAAAAAATTGTGCAAAAAATCCAACCTCACAATAAATTGAATTACATTTTGTACCGCAGATTGTTCAAACAATGTCTCAACAATTTTATAACAGAATGTAAACGAGTTGTACAACTTCTTGCACGCAAAATGTACAACGAAATGTACATTATATAGACTACTGACCATTGAATAAAACATATTAGGGATTGTATCACCTCTTCGCATGATTCATCTCTCCGCACAACTTCAACATACGTCTCCTTCCTCTTGTTTCTGATGTTTCTATTGCTGTTGCTGATGAGGTTGCGTTGATGTTGTTGTGTTAGCGCTATTGCGGTTGATGCAGCTGTTGATATAATTGTTAATAAAAAGGTTGATGTGAGTTTGCTGGACACGCCCACACGCCCCATTTCCCCATAGTTCCTCTGCCCTGTGTTGCAGGTGCATTTCATCGTATTGCACGCTACACTGCTTGCTGCTCTTTTGGTTTGGGACTTGAATTTTTTCATTGCTTTGCGATTTTTTATCTCGTTGCTTTTTCTTCAAAAAACAGTACTTAAAAATTATAAAACAATTGTAGAACAACCATAGCATACCTGCAAGCTTGGAATAATGGCAGCAAAAACCACGAACGCAACAACAGCAACATCAAGCACAACAAAGAATACAACAACAAACGCTACAACGAACCCAACAACAACAACAAACGGCGAACGAAACAACAACATCGTAATTTAGTGAACCGTCACCTAAAAATATAACAACGGCAATATTTTTTCTCGAAAAATAATAAGTTCTTTAAAGGCCAAAACTAAAAATCATGATAAAATTTTTAACATAAAAAAAAATAAAACAGAAAAAATAATATGCAAAATAAATAATTCTTCATTATAGCAACTTTAAACAACAAATAAACTATTTATATGCTAATTTAAAAACGCTGAAGAGCCAACCAATAAGCTGTGAGTTGAACCAATTTTGTTAGCTATTTCCTACATTCAATGTTACACATTAAACGTCATGTTTCGCGCTTCGTTCAGATTTTTTGGTCTATTCCATAAACGTCTATTTAATGCCGGCGATTCAATCAAAGACGTGATGCAATTGGACGAATGACGTCATGTGATGTAATGTAATGGAGGCTGGCGTGCTGTTGATGTCATCATCTGGAAGGATGATTATACATATTAATAGTCCCAAGTAAGAAATCTAGCAAATGTGACGTTATTGGGTATGTGATGCTGAGAGGTTTCATGTGTATGATGTGATTGATTGATCATCTGATGATAGGTTGATGTAATGACGTCATGTGTTGATGTGATGACGATGAATTAGATGGTGATAAAATTAATTGATGTGATGATAAGATGATGCCATCTAAAGTTAGCTATTGTTAAATTGTTAGCTATTTCATAGACCCACCTCTGCCCTCCGTATTAATATTAGAAATTACTAACTAGTTTTGGTTTAGCAATTTTAATCGTACGAAAAATCATAGCGCCCATATTGAGAAAAATATTTTAGCCACAGATGGAAAATTAGAGCAGTCAAAACTCTCAAATAAGCCATTTTTATAACATTTCTGTGTTCCCAATAGTCATGTATTGGTTGCAATCAAAAAGTTACTTTACGATTATTATTTCGGAAATTATTTTTTATTTTAACAACATTTATGTTTTAACACCCATGAAGAAAAAGTGTTTAAATTTTTAACATATTAACAACGAAGGTACGTTTAAACGTCTGCCAAACAAATTCCACCCAACCCAACTAAAGCAATATTACTTTCTGTCTTCATAAGGTTTCAATCACCAAATTAAATTTTTCAAAATAATTTCTTCAAAATTAAAAGGTGAAACTAAGTTGCAGAAGATCGTGTTTAAATACTTTAAATGATAAAGAAAATGTTCCTTCTTAAGTTTATGTCCACTAGACAACAAAAAAATGTCCCCATCGTTATTCACGTTTTTAAATTTTTTCATTCTTCGCAACTCTAAAAAAATTTTTTGGTGCTCATAAATTTTCCGCAGTTATTAATTTTTGGCAAACTATAGGTTTAATAGAAGGAATATAAGGATGAAAAATGTTTTACAAGATCATTCAATTTGCATCGGCATTATTTATGATAATAGCAATGAACTATAGAATCGTTATAACAATATAATTATAAAAATAATTAAATTAATATTTATAAGAATTTGTAAATAATAAAATGAAATTAATAAAATGAACAAAGGTGTTGCAAACTCCCAATAAATACTTTAAAAACCCTGGTGACAGTCTGCAATGGTGCCTCATGGAGATGCCTGCCGACTTGAAACAGGAAATTGAATTAATTTATGTTTCCATGGTGAGGAGCAAAAAGATTTTATAAATTGTCAACGGAAAATTTTGAATTTAGTGTTGTTTTTATTTCTTGCTAAAATTTTAAAATTTAAAAACTTGATTACCGGCAATGATTTTTCACTCCTTTTAAACCCATTTAATGTTGGCACACATTCCATGGAATAACTCATGTGCCTATATCACCGACAAATCATTCCACATTTCATGGCATTCCGATTTTATGTAAACAGCAATGCTGCATGCAAGTTCCATTGTGACATGACAATTGTCGAAGTGATGCAATACATCTGTGAAGCACGTTTGTAGAATTGTCTATTTCGTGAATTTAAATTAGGTATGCAATCAACTGTTATCAGAAATGAACAGTTCTGTAAATAGAATGATTGAATAATTTTAATATTACCTTTTAGCTATTAACTAACCGCAGAATATTAATCTTATCAAACGTCATATACTATGAATGCTAATATATTTTTCGTATCAACGAATGAGAACACGAAAAGAATTGAACAAAACGTGGTGCCATTTTTAAACTATGATGGCTCTTTGTCTTTTTCAGTTTTCAAGAAACTTCTGCCATATGTGAAAAAAAATCCCGTCGAATGATCAAAAAATTTCAGAAAACACTTTCATTTTGAATTTCACTGACTTACAGATGTGGAAAATAGATAAACATTTAAAACAACAGCCTGTGCTAACATAAACATTTGAAACAACTTACATAACATGACATAAACATTTAAATTTTCAACAAGGAACAAGATGGACCACACTTAATGGCTGTAATAACGAGGGAATGACCTCGCAACACATCCAAGTAACATTTTGTCGCAACTCAACAACGATATATCAACCAGCGACAAGCCCAAACAATGAGAGAAAATAAATGCACATTTGTGCATTGAGATAACGTGCAACAAGAGTGAACGACCTAGCAACATCTATATTGAAAAGATGACGTTGAATTAAAAACTACATGACATTTTTATTAATTAGGGAGAGATAAAAAATATCACTTTGAAACTAACATCAACAAAAATACAAAACATTAAGTCAAACGGCAACAAATTGCGAAAACTTTGCAAGAGAAAAATAAATCTTTTACCGAAGAAAACAATCTAATTTATAAAATAAATAAACAATTTAAAAATTTGAATTTAAAAGTAGTAAAAAATTTCTAAAGTAAACAACAGAGTTTAAAAGTTTTAATTACACAACAGGGTATCATCAGATTTTTCCACAATGAGCAAAAAAATTACAGCAAGATAACAAGCACGAACCTAACAAAAAATATACAATTATTGAAAATAAAAAAAACTTACAAACAGCTAAAAAAACAACTAACAAACCGACCAGACCACTAACAAGAAACCAACCAATCAACAAACCAACCAAACAACCAACCAATCAACAAACCAACCGAAAACCAACAAACGAGTCAACCATCCAACTAGACAACAAACAAACAATTTTCAACCATCCACAGACAAGAAACAGAAATAACTAAACAAACCGATACTGGACGTCTCGTTGTCTACTCTGATTAGTTCAACAGCATAAATCCAGAAATCCGTGGCTACTGCAAGCGCCAGTGCTCCCGCTGCCACCAAGCCAAAAGTTAAAGATATCAAACTGAATGCCCGCTCACCAAATTTCATGATGGTGGTGGTTGTGTGGTGATGATGGAGAAAATTATAAAAAAAATGATGATTGCGGGGATAGTGATGATAATGCTGGTGATTGTAGTGGTGGTAGAAGTGGTGATAAGATGATGATAATGATGATGACGGCAAATTTTTTGAAGATAGAAATAGATGATTTACTGGCAACAAAAAAATTAGAATAATGTTGAATATTGTTGGCGTTTATGATGCTTTTGCTGACAATGACGACGGTGGTGATGATATCAAAAAGACGATGGTGGTGATAACGATAATGGTGTTGTTGATATGCGGTGGCCCGATCGGAAGCAGTTATTGAAAGTTGGTGCAATCGAATGGCGAACAATTAGGATCCGTAAGATTTGCATGTCTGCAGCATGAGGATTTTTTTGAACTTTTCCCTCTTTTTGTGACGGCGTGCCTGTCGGTGTTGTATTCCTGGTGGTTTGTTGGTGGAAGATGCAATTAATTAGATGTTGCGGGCTGGAGTGCTTGTTCTTCCGAAATAATTTGATTGTCTCTCTGGATTGATGCTCACTTCACTCTTCCTTTCTCCAATTTAATTATTGACCACACGTAATTTTATTTATTTATTTATTATTGTTTTTATATATTTTTTTATAAAGCAAGTTTAAATAACTGTTTAATTTATTTATTTGTATGTATGAAACTTTACAGATTAAAATAGCAAAACTGAATTTAGAAAATATTTATGAAGTTTTCAAAATGTAAAACAATAAACGAACCACAAATTTAATAACGCAACAACGTATCATGTTACATATAAAAAGAGCAATATTTTTTCTTTTCAAATTTCCTTTCCTATTCCATACATTAGTTCTTTATTCAACAAACTTTCAAACAAAAAGTCTAAAAATTAGAAAAGCGGGGATGTATTCAATTTTTTTTTCAAAGACTTTCAAAACTTACAACGAGCATGAATGCCAACTTTTAAACTTTTTTTTAAAGTCACAAAATAAATTAGTACTAGCAAAAATTGCCAAAAAATTATTATTCCATTAATTTTTATTAGTGTGGTTATAAATGCAAATATTCTTTATAAGTCAATACAGTTACATTAACGAGCCTAAGATAGATGGGAAAACTCTTCTCAAGTAACCATCCGAATGTTAAAAATAAGTCCGACTTGACTATTGAGTACTGAGGCTTACTTGGCAAGTAATTTCGACAAAATCACGCAACTCATAACCTTGCAAGAACACATCGCAACAATACTTTGCACTGCACTGTAACGAAACGGAAGGAAAACTGGAGCGACATCCAGCACTGTTTAATGATGACGGCACGGGATGTAATTTAAAAGTTGTCAATTAACATTAGCTGATGTAACGCGAAAAATCTATCTTACTCCTCTTCATGCAGAACATCCAATATGTTACGTCTCTCAACCAACTTACAGCCGAAATGGCTGTATATTTGCAACAAATATACATGTACATTTATATATGTAGCTTATAGGATGGATGATTCGCGATGTATGGTACGCATTGTGCCAGACCAAAAGGACCTCACGTCTTTGTTGTGTATACAACATACGCGTGCGTGTATGCACAAATAAATGTTTTCATGTCATTTTTGGAAACACTGGCAACTGTCTTTCTGAGCCACAAGTTGACAAAAATAATTCAAAAATACATGAACAATATCTGCAGATTAAGAAATTAAACTAATCAATTTGATAAAAATAAACCCTGGCTCTTCAATGATAAAAATTCAAACCATCAAAAATTTGTTAGCAACGCTACGCATCTTATCAACAATCATCAGTGGACGGTGGTCACTTGAACAGACTATAAATGAACATCGAACTTAGTGTAAAATTCTTGACAATCGTTGTTTTTTTTACCTGTCTGCCTAAGTATCTTAAGTTTTACTTTCTAAGCAAGGATGCTAAATTAAACAACCAGAGAGGTCTATGAATAAATCGGGCAACCAACTAGCATTCGAAAAATTTGAGAAAATAGCCTACTCAGCACATCTACATTTAACCTACATTTAATTTAATTTAATTTAATTTAGTTTTTTCAGTCATTAGGTGGTTTACTTTACGTTATGTTTTATTTGAAAAACGTTGAATTGTCTTTCATCGTTTCGTTTCAATTTTCGTTCTATTGTGCCCTCGTCTGCCATCTACACCTCACCTAACGCAGTCCAATCATTCGTGAAAAAAACTTTCATGTCAATTTTCACAATTTGTTGAAAATTTTTTTTTTAAAATAAAAGTAAGAATAAAAGAGCGGCTTGAATTTTCTTGTCGGCGGGTGTCAGGCAGAACTTCACTGCGGCTGTTAAGTTTTGGTCACGTTAAGCATGTTTTTGCTAACTTTTTGTCCAATTATGCAAATGACTTTAGGCCTGCAAAACCAACAAACATAACCTGAATCTGTCTTGCTAATCGTTCCTGGAAACGTCAACATGAACACTTTAACATGATGCATTTGTACTAAAACATGGTGAATGTATAGTACTATAACGTGACGTGTGTGTAAACTATAACATGATGCATGTATACATTGATTGATATCCTGTACTTTGAACATTCCAATCAATTTTTGGAAAAGTTATCGCGTCGACAATGCATTCCAAAGAATGACAACAAAAGCAAATAAAAAATTAAAATAAACAAAATTTCCCAATTTTCTCGTTTGTCTCACGAAAGCAAAAAAGTTTTTTTTCAAAGTGGAGGACCCATCTGAATAGAGTACAGCAACTTGCATTGCATAATTTTGTAACACATTTTATCTTAAATATTTTATTATTTGATAATGCAATTTTGACAACTCGCAAGATTCATTCCGTGAAGTTTTTAGAATTTATTGCAATTACGCTTCTGATATTGTTACAATATTTTCATATACGTTATAATATTATCAAAAACTTTGAAATATTTCCTTCCCTATTAAAAATGTCACAGGACCCGGATGTTGAATCAGTGCACATGACGCAAATACTACACATAAAGACAGTTCAAAGTATTGTTGTCCCATGAATGCTCTAATGGGATGACACACACGTATGTATGTGTTTCAAAATGTATGTGTGTGTGCGTGTTTCTGAACGTGTGTGTGTATTTATGAATGTGTGTTTGCATACCAAATAATACATAGGTTTTTTTTTTTTAAAAAACATTAGGTATTCATTTATTTATACTTGTGTTTTATTGTCAGTGGACGCGAACTTGATCAGCGTAAGTGAATGTGTGCATGCGTTTAAAAATGTATCATTTGGCTAGAAGATGTAAGTTTATGCTGTTTATTATGTAAAAGCAAAAAACTTTCCATTAAAATGTATGTTTATGCTGTTTATTTAAACTAAATTACAAAAGTGCCCGCTTGTCAATTAATGGCCCAGTTGAAGTAATGTACAAAAGTTAATTTTATTATCATTATATCACATTAGCCTGCATTAGGTGGCTTTTATTAATGGCCTTTTCAATACGAAACTCATTCAAATTATTCTCTTTATTACCTCCATAAATTTCGCTCGTCATTGTTTGGCCAGTATATTTGAGATATTTGTATTTGAAGATGTGTTGTTGTTAGTTTTAGTTGCTACAGGCACGCAAGCAGGAATCGCAGCAGATGCGTGTGGCTTACTTTACATGCTGTTTGCATGTATGCTTGGTGCCTTGGGTGCTAACACTAAACACGTTTATTTATATCAAGAAACATACTTGAACTTTTATTTACTGCATTTTTAAACAAATGTAGGTGCTGGCAATGCTGAAGTTTATATAAATAAATAAATTTTACGTTGAGATTCAAATACTGCAATGCAATGTTTTGTTAAGTGCCGTTGTTTGTTCAGTTTTTTGGTCTATCATACAATTTGTCTTCAAATTTTGTTATTAAGACCAGTTATTTTGTAAAAAATTTAAATAAATTTTTTTGTAGAGACTGACAAACTTGGTAAGTCAAAATTTTCACTAAATTAAATAAAGATTTGGTTCAACTTAGCTTTAACCCTAGCAACATTTCCATTGTGAGGATCGTAACACTATGCCTTTGGTTTTGTTGTAGGCCTATGTAGGAGAGGTTGAAGAAACTGCAAAGTTGCACGTTGGCACAAAGAGCCATCATTCCATATTCATTCCTGTCGCTTTCCATGGGTGTTGAGTATAGAAATGTAGAACGTGATTGTCAACGCAATCTCATTTTCTGAACAATGGATGTTTTACCTTTGAAATTTAAAAATAGCTTGGAGATTTTTGTAAAATTAAAAAGTTAATTATGCGCAAATGTAATGTATGGCGGCATAGAAATTTTGAATTCTTTTGTCATAATATTTTTTTTAAATTAGCAAGTAATTTCTCATTAAAAAAACTTGTCAACATTTCTATTTAAAATTCAAACGAACTTTATTTGAACGACAGTCAACTCGAGACCATTGTCTATTCAAAGTTTTCAAAATGTTAATTGAGGAAACACTGAATGAGATGGCGTTTATGTTTATTATTGTATATATTATCACGATGACAAAGATGGGGACAAGGATGATGATAGTACTGATAACGGTGGTGGTCCTTTTCATAAGACCATCTATTTATAGACAAAATTAAATTTGTGATGTACGGTTTGCATGGCGATACATTTTGCATCCAACTATCTTTGAATGAAATTGCAACATTTTTTTGTTGATTATACGCTTGTGCAAATATAAATTGCCTTTTTAAACGTATCTGTAATATCTTATAAAAAAATAATTTGCTGAAAAACTCTCTGGCATTTTTAATGTTGCTTGTCTGTTCTTAGTAGTAACATACAATATTTGTGAGACCTTTGAACAGAATTTCAAGTACAACGTTTTCCTGATAGAAATTAAAAATTCCTCTTTGTGTCCCAACCTCATCCATCAGAAGGTCTCCAATTGATATTTGATCAGGTGATGCAGACCAATGAGCTCTGTTGTGGAGATGAAAGACCGATTGAAAAATTGAATTTTAATTGATGGATTGTCTCTGAGGCGATCTCCAATGCGTGCACAAAATTCATCCAATTTATTTTCTAACCCACCTCCACTAAATTTGTTTTCAAACCTTACTGCCCAACTCGTGCGTGACATTATGAAAGTTTCACACCCCTCGTACCTTCCTACCGTGCATCGGTTTAAAATAAACAGTTGACATTTTTTTCCAATTGATAAGGAAAATATTCAAAGTTTTAGTGATGTTTTAACACATTATTTTTTTATTAATAAAAATTTTAGATAAATTTAACCCGACTAGATATTTTCTATCAAAAAACGATATTTTCTATTCATTTTATTGATACGAAAATTTTGTTTTCAATAAATTGAACGTTCAATATAACATTGGTTCACGTTAGTATTATTTTGATAAACTAATTAATGACAAATCTTTTTTGAAAATTTCAATACAAATTTCAATGAAATATTTAAGCGTTTTTACGATTCTTTGGAACTAAATAAATTTATTTTTGTTGAAATGAGTTCATTTTTATTCAAATAATAAATTAAAAATAAAAAATTTTACGAAAGTCCATTCAAAGTTGGGTTTCGTTTTCCAAAAAATAGACCACTTTCTGGCAAATTGTCAGCTTCACCTCGCTTCCCAAACAATACTTCGCTAGGTTTGACGGGCTGACCAATGCTAGAGATCGGAATATACTGAAATTCTTTGCCGTGAAAAAAATCTTTATCAAGAGGGTACTGGTTGACTCTTTTACCAAAAAACAATCCGCTGTCTGGCAGTTCTTCCGATCGCTTGCCAAAGAAAAGACCGCTGTCGGGAAGCTCTTGGGACATCTCCTTTCCTTCCCTCAACATCTCAACGTTGCTGTATTTGTTAAAGTTGTTGCCGTATGGTTTGCCTGACGAGTCCTGCACTTGCGCAAATAAGTGAAGGTAGATGAGAATCAGTTTGATGCTTGTGGAGATGGTTTGTTTTGTGCCTGAAATACTCTGGAACGGACTCATGTCTTTTATAGTTTATTGCTACCAGAAAACGCCAAATTTTAAAATTAAAAAGTTTTGTTTATAAAAACTAAAATAATTTAAAATATTGTAGAAAATATTTCTCAATTTTATTTTCCTTCTATGGAAGAACGTGAAATAAAGCTCAATTTATAGTGCAAAATGTAAACGTTGGTTATAATTGAACTGATGATGAGCAATCATCTTGCTGCTTTTGGTGGCAGAGAAATTGTTCTTGCCGGTAGCAGAAAACAAAATTGTATTATTTAGTTGTCAAGCAACCGCGATTTTTCTTGCAAATAAGTTTACGGCCTTTTAACTACTCACAAAAATTTAGCAAAGTTTTTTTGGTAATAAACAAATTTTTTAAAAATTTCGGTAATTTGATTGTTAAGAAGCATGGACGTTATGGGAATAACAAAATTTTACATCGTTTGTTCACATTTTCATAACATTCGGAAACAGTTCAATTCACATCTAATTACAAAAACAACATCGCCATTTGAATTTTCAACAAAAATATTATAGGGCACCGGCAGGAACCAAAGAAAAATCAAACCCGTACGTGAAGGACCAAATTTGAAAATTGTTATTTTCATTGCATGAGTTCAACTGCGGCATTTGATGACCCTTGTGTGGAGTGATTGCGTTCGTTACTTGTTCTAGGCACAAATCTCTAACAATATTATTTCGTTTGAATTTAACTTGAATGAGACCTTTAACAATAGTTTCCGTTGATTTCAAAGACCAGACCCCGAAACGTTCGAGAGCCTGCTGGTCATCTTTTGGTGGACACTCGTCGAGTTTGAGTAGGACACTATATTCCGGTATTTGTATGCATTTGTCTCGATAGCGCATGATTCCTTCTTTGCTTAGAGAGAAATAATTACTCGGAATAATTTTGTGATGGTAACACACGTAAGTCATCCCGAGATAATAATCTTCCGTTATTTCCCAACACCATTTTGATTTATCGTTAGTTACTTCTCCGTAAAATACTGAATCCATAGGTGGCGCTTCTAACTGAGGCATTATGTTATACATGTACCATTCGAAGTTTTTACAACCTAAATTTTTTCGCAATAATTTTCTTTCATTTAGCGATTGTAGATCTTCATCATTCAATTCTGCTCTTTTATATGAAAAAATTCTAGTGGAGGCATAAAAATATTTGCGCATTCCATCCATCCAGGTTTCTGTCACTCTAATTAAATTTTTCTGCACAATTTCCTCCTTATCGCCGTCGAACGTGTATGGAAACTCTTTGAAGACGTGTCCCATGTGCGAGCAGGTGACGGTGGTCACCTTCCCACCACACATCCACGCACGAAATCCAAGCTCAATATTTTCACCGCCCCAAACCTTTAGACCTTCGTCAAAATTTCCAATTTCTTCGAAATAATTTTTATCCACTGCGATAGCGCATCCGACAAGAGTTGGGGTGAAAAAAGGCAGGCCCGTGTCGCTGGCGTCCTTCTGTTCATGTTCTGTGGCCTTGATCCAGGTGTACCTGGTGTTGTTGTACGGTCAACATGTTACGTGATTGAAAGAATAAAAATCTAAATTTTATTTTTTAGTTTTGCTCAAAAACAAAGTTTACTTATTTAAAAAAGTGAAGTTTTAAATTTTTTAATTATCCTGTCATCTATCGAAAAATAATTATCTATGAAACAGTATTGTATTGCTATCATAATATTGGGATTTTTTGTTCAAAATTGAAATAATAATTAAACATTGGACCGACCTTAGATCCCAACTGAAACTGCCCTTGTGATAAATCCCTGGTTCTCCGATTTCCAAAGACATGGCATCGATGGCGTCTGTGAATGGTTGCAAAACTTGTTTTTTGTTCTTACGTATTTCGTCTAACAGTGGCTCCAACCACATTTCGTTGGCTTCAGAGTGGGCGTCGAGAAATATCAGCACGGGTCCCTCGGCCATTCTCGCTCCTCTCATCCTACTGACAATCAAACCTTGCCTCTTGTCATTCCTCACCAACTTAACTTTTGGTAATAATTTGACGTAAGTTGCCAGTGGTTGTTGGAGGTGTTCGTCTGGACTGCAATCATCCACGAGTATTATCTCGTTCAGTAATGAATCAGGACTTCTGTTGAGTACGCTGTGAATGGTGCGCAACAACATGGACAGTGCCTCATTGTAGAAGGGAATGATGACCGAAGCTTTCGGCAGATTTGATCTATCGTACGTGAATGTCTTGCAAATGGGAGGTCGGGTGTCCGGTACATTTCTGTCCAACGATTGCTGGTCGCTGTTAGTGACGTTGATGTTGTAGCGAGAATCTGGCGCTCTCCTTTGTGTTTTGATGATGTGCTTGTGAGCTGCTACGATGGCTGGCATATTTGACCGAACCTTATCCATAGCCATTTCTATTTTTTCAACGTTTTTCTGTTTATTTTCAGGAACTTTTAAAATGTTTACAGATTTTTGAGTAACGGATCTTTTCCACGATTTAACATTTTTGACGTTTTTTGGTTTAATTACTTTGTTTGGCCAATTAGGCATATGTATTGGATCAGAATCCATTCCATCAGCTAAAATATCATCAATCGGTGTCGGTACAATGCTGCGGCCGTCAGAGTAATCTTTGCCTCCCATAATTTTCTCCAAGACTATGTATGAACAAATTATGATGCATGCAATTGCAAGAAATATTACATAACCGTTTGTTCTATTATTCTCTTTCATTTTGATAAACTTTAAAAAATTTAACAAAATTAAATTTTTATTCTTATTTTTTTAAATAAGAAATACGTGGCTAACCACGTAAACCGACTGCACAACCTATCAGAAAGGTGTACACGAATAAATTAACATTTTAATTTTTATTCATATCATGCACTGCACGTATTGCAGTTGGAATTTGTTAATAAACTCATATGCCATTCATGACTGATTCATTCAATATTCACAATTCAAGGCTGACTGCTTACCATATTGTCACATTGTTAGGCTTTCATTTGTGTGCATTCGCCATACGCGCACGCACACACTGATAAACACACTCCAATTACAGAACACAAACACCACATACGCATATACACAACTTCACATTCGCAGTCATGTGTACGTAATTAAATTTTTTTCAATTATTTGACACTAAACATAAAATTTTTTCAAGTTTTATGAGACAACAGTTACCAAAATTTTTATAAAAATCATTATTTAACAGTTACCAACATTTTTATAAAAATCATTATTTAATTTAAATGAAGTTAAAATGTGTGATAACGTTTTCAATGTTTATCGAATAAATAAATTATAAAAAAATCTTTGTCGATTTATTTTTATGTAATAAATCTGTTTTTGATAAGAGAGGGTTTCATTTTTTGTGTTTTAACCAATATTATTTTTCTTTAAATTTGTCAAAATGAACAAAAATTTCACTTAATTTTTAAACTCATTCGAAAGTTGCCGCGTCAAAAATGTTTGGACTGATTACATATTTTCAAAAAGTCCGAAATTGAAATGCAGAGTTGTATGTAAATGTAACACTTTATTAACTTTATTAACTGTGTGTAACTGTGTATTAACTAACTTATGTACTATGTACACAATATTTGTTTTCTAGAAAAAAGTAAATATGGCAATATGTAAAAATATTTAATTACACGTTTTTAAATGTATCAATTGCGTAAAATAGTTAATCAGTACAAAAATTCATTTTATAAAAAGAAAGAGGAAGGCGTTGCCTTCGGGTTGTAGGTTCGTATCCTTCCACACAAGTAAAGTCGTTTAAAAATTAAACAATTTTTTCAAATTTACGGTTCTGACCCCAAATAAGATGAAACGTTAGTTAGTAACCTTTATTTTTGGTTGTCACGAAAAATCACCATACAAATACGGTTGAGGCAAAAGTTGGAAAGCGGCAATTTTCCATAACTTTCAATTGTCGTGAATTTGATCTCCCAGGAACACATTTCAAATAACAAATTATGAATCAACTACTAAAGCAACAACTTTGAAGATATCACTACAACAGATCATCCATCAATTTTCTTTATTTATTAATCAAAAATTGTTATTTGTATCAGCCACATTTTGTTAGAGTTCAGTTCGTATTTGCATACCAATAATCACTTACGTAAATGCTTGAATTTGAAGACAAAATCGTGTGACAACCAGCCAAAATATACTGATTAATAACCGATATAAATTCAAAGTTCAAAAATGAAATATCGAAATTACATTAAAACATTAAAATGATTGAAATAAAAATATTGATATGCCTAAAAGTTGCATTATTTAAATAAAAAAACACTTAACAAAAATAAATATAATATATAAATATAATAAATAAATATAATAATAACAATGATAAATAATAATAGTTATAATAATAAAAACAATAATTAAAAGGTTTTCAGATCCGGTAAAAAACAATCAAATAAGCAAAGTTTTCATTCAGTGCACGGATGCTAATGCCGTTACAAGCAGGATTGTTGGTCATTGCGATTATTGTTATTTGCGATTAGATACTTTAGTTTACTACATTAAGAAAGGAGAGAGAGAAAGAGAGAGAGAGAGAGAGAAAGAGAGAGAGAGATTGAAAATTGCAATTTATTAAATGTGCATCTTCCAGCGAATCACTCGAATTTTATCTACTCTGGAAATAATCCTGTTATCTCGTAATGTGGGAGGAGTCAAATTAGATCACGTGCACGACGACGATTCTTATTGGTCGTGAGTCTGCGATGAAGTGATGCTATTGGTCGATCAATTAGTTGCGGTTGATTATGGAAAGCGATTGTTGAAATAAAATAAATGGATAATGGTCGAGCGCCGTCTCATAAGTGTAGCGCCTGATCGCTCAATCTCCTCTGCCGTTTAAAATTATTATTCAACATCTCTCTCTCCCTCTCTTCCTGCCCTCATCGTCCTTTTCGTTTCATCCAACAACATTATTTAATTAATTAATCAGTTAATTAATCACGTGATAAACAATATCAAACTGTGGATTTGTTTAAAGTTGAGTTTTTTAGTTGAGTTGTTTACAAATAAATAAGCAAGCATATATATGAAATTTAATATGTATAAAAAACACGTGAAGAAGATTAAATTGTTGAGGTAGATGGAGCAGCTAGCCGAATTTGTGTCGCAATCTTTCGAGTCGAAGCGCAAATTATCAATCGCCAACATTGTTTACAAGTGGCAAACGACATCAAACGACTTCAACAACAGCAACAACACAACGCATAAAAATCACAACAACTTAAATGAACAGTTGATGAGTAACAAAATTAAAACAGCCAATCATGTGCGCTACTCGAAGAACAACAACGCGGACAACAATATAAACGATATCGAAGACAACTACATCAGCGACCACTCCATCCAAAGCACCGAAGAAAAAAATTTGAAAATTAATACCAAACTTAAGAAGGATCGATACGAGAGAGGAGGAGTACATGGAGATAAGGTCAACCCGAGCAAGTCATCAATCAATACCAACAATGACGTGAACAAGGTTAGAGACATTAGCTCTAATGAGAACAACAACAGCAACAAAACCACCAATGATTATCATGGCACTTTCAACAAAAACATCCACACCATCAAAAACACATCATATTCATTCAAATCTTCTTCCAACAACAGTAAATTTGATATCGACGTTATTGACAATGGCGATGACAAGGACGATTATGACGATGATAAAAGTACTAACGATGAAGATGATGATGACTATTATGATGGTGAACATTATTTACATGATGCAATAAAGAAAGAAATAATTGGTACAACAACTTTGAACAACACTGATTCCAACATCACCAACAACGACAACAGCAACAGCAGCTGTCATTTCAGAAACAACTACAACAACTACATTAAGAACAGCAAACACATCAGCAATAACAACAATAACAATAACAACAGTTACTGCAGCAGCGATACACAAATGAATGAGAAAGATTGCTACAAAAATTTGAAGCAACAATTTCGAGAAGTTGGTGAGAGAAGGAAACAATACAGCATCCATCATTATCGGGATGCTTGCTACAAAGTTTCAACCTTCGATGATCATAGTGATGGTGATGATGACGACGATGATAAAAATATTGACGTAGATGTTGATGATAAGAACGCAGTCCAGCAAAACATTTCCACATTGAACAGCAACAGCCGCAGCAGCTTCGTCCTTGACCTTGTTCCCCAAGGAGGCAACTATGAAGAGAACAACACTGGAAGACACAATGACCATGACAAAAGTGATGAAAAGAGTGGAGACAGGAACCACAATGTGAGCAGCAACGATGATAATGAGACGAGAGGCATCAAATGTATTGTTGAGGCCAGCCCAGGTGATCAACCAGTAGATATCATTGCAAACGGAGAGCTGGTTGACAACGACGCTTGTGAAATAAACAAACATTTGCATTGTAAGAACATTTTATTGAACACAAGTGTACAGGAAGAAAACGAATATGAAAAAACACAAGTTTTTGAAAGTGAAGCTGACTCAAATGAGACGGAGAAACAAAAATTGATGAGAGTGTTGCCACAAAACAATCCAACCAAGCGAATTGATAACGATGAAACACATGATGCAAACGTTGAACAACAACATGTGGCTTCCAGAGACCAACATCCTCAACCGACCAACAACAAGCAGGAGACACATGACAGTGAACCAACAAATGCTCACAAGAGAAAATTCATTCACCACGTGTTAGATGTTGAGAACCTCATCGGAACAAAACATGCAAGTGAGTTCATGACCTTTGCTGCATTTGCATTTGCACTTGAATCTCTTTTCAAAAAAAGCATGAAAACAGTATCTAGTTTATATTTCGTTAAACATTTTGGCTTCTAACAAAATTTTTATTTAAACAATTTGGCAAATAAAACTGACCAAGATCGCCGCTCTGGCATTATTTAGATTTTTAGCAAGAACAAAAATTATTATAAAACTAACAAATAAAACACTAAATAATATCACAAATATGAAGTTTATGAAACATCGTTAATACAGTTCCAACACTTTCAGCACACTTTTACACAGCAACATAATATTTTCAAATTCTCTGAGCTTCAAAAAATATTTTTCAATTTATTTTTCCAATTAATTTTCAAGTTGTGTAAGTTACTAAGATGGATAGATTGCAACGTGATGGGCTGAGATTTCTTTGCAATCCAACCTGTTCAGTGGCACAGTGGGACCTGATGCGTTTCAAAAACCATTTCAAAATCTCGCCCCTTACACGAATATGTTTCGTCATGTTTCTGCCTAATTATACACGCGTATGTGTTTATATGTTTTGTGCGTGTTTGCGTGTGTCTATTTTGCTTAGGTGTTGGTGCATCGTATATGACATTCTTGTTTATTTGTCCTGTTTTCTGAAATATTCGTTTAACATTTTAATCATTACAACGTTTAATAAATTGGTACTTTTGAATTGTGGGACAATAACGTAAAGAAGCGGTTGACATTAACAACAACAAAAACAGCAAATAGCAACAACTTTTAAAGTGTAAACACTTTAAACAATCAGTTAATATAAATCGAAGCAGCAATTAACATGAAAAACAACAGTCAACAATGAAAGTTTACAGGAACTACCTACCAGCACGCAACTTCAACTAACAAATCAACATTCAGAAGCAGCCGCAACAATGACTAACAACAAAAAGTCAAAGAAACGCGATCAAAAATTAACACAAGCATTAAACACATATTCTCTCAGCAGAATAATTGTTTACTCTACGACCACAAAATTTCAAAACTAACAAATTAAAAAAAAATTGGTTGGTAAAGTAAAAAGTGATGTCCCAAAATCAAAATATAAAAAAGTTTGTCATTAAGAAAGCATACAAAAATATGTGAGTGTGAGGGCTCTAAATTGGATCTGCCAGCACCTTCATCATGAAATATTTTGCCCGCCTGCCAACTTACATACACCAAACCAAGAAAAGAACCAACCAGCCAACAACCGACCAACCAACCGGCTGACTAACCAACCGTCTGACTAACTAACCAACCGACAAACAACCGACAAACCAGCCAACCAACCATCCGACTGACTAACCAACCAACCAGCCAACCAATCAACCAACCAAACAGCTATCTAGCCAATGAGCTATCAGTGGAAGGCAGGAGCTAACAAGAACAATGCATGCATGTACACGCCTGCCTGCTACGCCCTCAATTCTTATTATTCAATCGATCAACAGTCCCCTCATCTTCAATGTGTTTGAACTTTATTAATTGTACACACATACCACACACACACACACACACACCTACACACTCACACACACACACACACACACACACACGATTACGCGTGTCCAAAAATCTATAAAAAAATTTTAACAGTAGTGTGATTAGATGTTCTAGTGATGATGTGGTGATGTGATAACGTAAGTATGTGTGTGTTTATGTGTGTTTGTGTGTGTTTGTGTGAGTATGTGTGTGCTTGTGTGTGTGCATTATTTGTTCGTGTTAAGGTAGTTTGACAAATCCTGTGTTGATCAAATCTCATGCATTCAGTTGGAAGTCCATGCTGTGTTGTCGAAGATGCTTAAGATCTTCTTCGTCCTCATTCTTCTTCATTATCACCAGAACAGTTTATATCATTTAAAACAATTTCCTGTATTATGGCGGGCATTTTGTGTGTCTCGCTTTTAAATTTTCTCCATGAAGTTTGAGCAGTTATTCACAGTTGGGACATTTGTTTATTTCCATGACATGTCAACAAATTCTCTGGAATATAAGTACGGTGCCCCATAAAAACTCTGTAAAATTAAATGCTTCTATATGTTATTTATAAAAAAAATGCACATATATGACATTTGTATAAATTTATGTCTTTGCGAGTAATATATGTCTGTATGTTTATACGTAAGTACGAATGTTTGTGTGTGTGTATGTACGACGTATGTATGTATGGTTGTGTTTGTATGTATGTATGCATGTATGTAAGTATGTGTATGTGTATGTATATGTGTGTGTGTGTGTGCGTGTGCGTGTGTGTGTGTGTGGCGTGTGTGTGTAGTATGCATGAAAGACACGAAGGTACATGCATGCGTTCATATATATGAAATAAATTGTCTCCGAGCTACGGACAGAGCGTTGTATTAGATGGGCAAATAAAATGTCTAATTCAATTCTGGTAAAATGCGGAATAGCAAATTGCATAATTGAATTAATATTTTTATTCTCTTTTTTTCTCTTCCTTTTTTGTTCGTGAAAATTTAGAAATGAAATGTGCAAACAAATATTCGCTTTAATGTTTGGTCTGCTGATGTGTTATGATGTTGCATGTGATGTTACATGTGATGTTAAATGTGATGTTGCATGTGATGTGATAATGTCTTGCTTTGTGGTTGTTGTGTTGTGATGTGGGCAACGCTTTAATGTTGTATTTGTTGTGTTGTGATGGCAGGATGGTTCTACGTGTCAATGTGCTGTTGTGAGGTGTTGTCATTGTTGTTGTTGTTGCTGCTGCTGTTGTTGTGATAATACGATGACGTCATATTGATCTGACGTTGGAGTAAAGCGTGATGTTATGTTGTCAGATGATGATGAGGAAGTTGATCGCCTGTTAAATCTTAAATATAAATATACGCCTTTCAAATAAAAATTTTGAAATTCGTGAACATACTTAAAATTATTCAAAGCAAATAATTAAATTACTAAAATTAAAAATTCCAAATACATATAATAATTTTTTAAAGAATTTCAAAACTTTATATGCAATTAAACAATGTTGATTCATTCATCGAAAATTATTTACTTTCGCAAATTTATATTTTTTATGCGTAAAGCAAATTGTTTTATTTAAAATTACTTACAAGCAAATCTGCAGACACGTACATAAAAACACTCACGCAAACTTACACACACACACACACGCACACACACACGCACACACACACACGCACACATACACATACAGAAAAGCACGCAAACACATTTACATAATAAATAAAATACTAGCAACTGGAAAAATTTCTTAAAGAATGAAAAAGGAAGACAGACGGAAAGATGGAGGGTTAGGTAGTAGATTGGATGACAACACCTTCTGACAAATCCTTCATAATCCAACATGACTTCGAGTAATTGCCAATTAGCAAAATGGAAAACACGGTGGACACACATATGTACATAACAATGATGACCACATTCAAACATTTTCAAATACGTTGTACATGTATGCGTATGTACATTTTTGTACATACGCAACGTTCGATTGTTCCACTGTGTTTATTAAGAATTGTGTGCGTGTGTGTGTGTGTATGTATGTGTGTGTGCGTGTGTGTGTGTATGTGTGTGTATGTATGTGTGTGTGTGTGTGTTTGTTAGTCAGAGAGGCAGTGCAAGGATTAATGATAACGATGATAATAATAAGGATGTTTCTGTAGCTGATGTTCCAGATGTCTGTAAAGAAGTGCTGCTGTTGTAGGTGTTGTTTATGAGGATGTTGTTGCTAGTTTTTCTCGAATGTGTTGTTGTTTTAGATGCCGGTGTAGACGTTGTCAAGAATGTTTTCGCGGATATTGTTGAGAGTTAGCGATGTTGGGTAATTAACGTTGTAGTTGTTATAACCGAGATTGCTAACGTTCCATTCTGCTGTAGTTGTTGCTGATTGCTAGGTGGTTGTTGACATTGGATGGAGTAAGTTTGGAGTTGCAGCCCTGGTTGGTGGCACGTTTTAATTTTTAAAACTCATCAATCATCTTTCAAATCGTGTTCAGCGCTCGTAAATTACTAGTTGTGTTGCGTGTGGCCTATTGTTGTTGATGTTGTTGATGTTGTCGTTTTGTTGTTGTTGTTGGTGGTTTGTGGTTACTGGTGTTTGCATGATGTTGCTGTTATGTTGTTGTTGATGATGTTTGCTGTTTGTTGTCATTCGTTTTGTATGGCTCATGTTGATGCATCGGCTTAAAATTTGTTTAAAAATAGTTATTATCGAGAATTTTTTAAAAGCTGTTGAAAGAATGAAAATATTCTAAATGAAATAATTACATTCATCATGGGACTCGTTGATCTTCATCTATAATCAACTATAATTACAAAATGCTATCATCGTTGTCGTCGTCATCATCATCATCATCGTTGTCATCATTGATATCATCATCTCATCATTTTTCAATCATCATCATTATTATTATTATTGTCATAATTTTTAAAACCAATATTAACTCCACCAAAACCAACAGCAACAAGCTTTCATAAACAATTTATAAATCTGTATTACCAAAACACTAAAACACTTCAACATTGTTGCTACAACAAAACACATAACAGCAACAACAACAACCATCACACAACACCAACAACAACACAGAGCAATCGAACAAGAGAACATCTGTAAATGAACAATTACCTGGCCAATGATACGAGCGCACCAACGTTTAATTGATGACTTGTGTGTTATGCTACTCTATGTCACATTAAGTGGTTGTGCTTTTGTGTGTGTGTGTAAGTTTGCTTATGTGTGTGCATGTCTTTGTGGGATATGCGTGTGTGTTTGTATGTATGTGTTTGATTGGTTTATTAATTTGTATCTTAAATAACGTTTATTATTTTAAAATTTTAAAGATAAATTAATAATATATTATGGTGAAACTAATTGCCGGCAACAGAAATTCGACATAAAATCCCACACACTAGCCAGAAAAACTCAAAAAAACTTGAAACAAAATATTAAAGCCAATCTTACATAATGGCAGGAATTCAACGTGACAACAATAATATAGAGCAAAAACATCAACATAATAACAAAACAGTCATTGTGAAACAACAACATCACGACAACAACGCACCACACAATACAACAACAATCTGACAATACAGTCGGTATTGAATAACAACAAATTATTGAGGTCAGCAACAATTAAATGTTCATCAACTTTCACCTCTCCAGCCTCTCCTTCGTTCATCCACACGCAATTATTTTACTTGTTCGTTCGATCGTTCGTTTGTTTGCTCGTTTGGTTGTTCATTCGTTCGTATGTTCGTTCTTACGTTAATTTATTACCATCTACAAATCTTAATGAAAATTTTCTTAAAAATTAAAATGCAGAAGATGAAAAGAAAGGTGGTGATGGTGATGGAGATGATGGCGCTGAGGACAGAGCAGCAGCAGCAGCAGTCCACATCATCAGCAACAATCCACTCATTCACTCACAATATTATCATTCATTTCTCTTCCATCCTCCTCAACATCCTCATCATCCTCATCATCCTCACCATAATTTCATGCAACAGTTTCAAAACCAGCACCAATACTTCAAGTGTTACAAACCAAACAGTTTATACGATCACATCAATAACAAAGATTACGAAAACAGCATTAACATTAACCACAACAACAACAAAATTAAATGTGACCCAGTTATGCACAACAACTACCAACATAACCAAAAAAATAATAAACATGATGATGATGATGATGATGATGATGTTAGCACCGCCAAGCACGATGACGATAATGATGATTGCGTTGCTGAATATGATGATGATGATGATGATGAACAGACTGATACCAAATATAGAAACTTCCAGAATTTCAACAAAAATCATTATCATCATCGACAGCAACATCAACAGCAACAACCAAAGATACATGAAAAATCAAAGACACCAACAGAAGCAGCCAATAAAACATACCTTGGTTACGACAACAACAGCAGCAACAAAATCAACAACGGTGTTCCTAAGGACAACCAAGACAGCAAGTTCCATTTTTCGTTATTGCCTCAAACAACAAAATGCAACAACACCAACAACAATAATGTCAATGTAATCAACAGCAGCAACAAAACCATCAACAACAACAACAATAATGCCAACAGCAGCCCCAATAACAACAACAACATTACAATCACCTCATCTCCTAATGTTGATGTAAGTTAAAATTAAAACTTATTACATTTATATGTACAACATTATTTACAATATTGACAAATTATTTAAAAAATAGATGAACTAGACCTTTTATTCATTATGTGGCTGTTTGCTGCATCCGTGCATATGTTTGTGCAAGTTACCGTTCTGATACTTTAAGCCAGCATTCTCGCGGTCCTTGGTAGATTTGAAATAAGAAGTTAATTTTTATTAGCAGTGTACGTACGTGATTAAATGACCTATCCTGAAAAGTGTTCAGTTTTTGTTTTTGACATCCTACATTTTCAAAGTTCTTTTAAATGTCTGAATATGTGATTCCCAAATATGATGTAATATGATCAGTTGATTGTTTGGTTAAAGTGCCTAAATATGCCTAAGAAAAATTTAGCTGATGAAGTGGGCAAATGAGCATTATCGGAAAAGTTTGTAAATCCGACAGAAGCATCTATATTTTTCAAATTTATCGATGATTTTACAAAAGTGTATCCTCTTAAAAAACGTTTATTCATCTAGAGCCTGTGCTTATTTTACAGGAAAGAAAAGAAATGATGTTATGTTCATAACCATAAGCAAATTTTAAAATGTTCAAATACACATACAGTCACTTTTAAAAGCATTTGCCATCAAAACGTATTAGATAAATAAACACAAATATGCCATCACTTTTGAAGCATTTGTTCAAAAAATAAACGTCCTAGACGAGTAAAGACGAATGTATATATATATATATATATATATATATATATATATATATATATATATATACATATATTCATTGCAGGGCGATGAACAGCAGCAGCAGCAACAAATCCCAAAAATCAAACAACGCCGCAGCAGGACGAACTTCACGATCGAACAGCTGAACGACCTCGAGAAGTTGTTCGACGAGACCCACTATCCAGATGCCTTCATGAGGGAGGAGCTCAGTCAGAGGCTCGCACTCTCTGAAGCTAGGATACAAGTAGCTGTGATGGTGATGATGATGATGTCTGTTAAGATGAAGATGACGACGATAGTGATAATGATGATGACGATGGTGATGAAGATGATGATGACGACGGGGATGAGAATGACGATGTTTGTAAGGATGATGATGATGACGATGATGATGGTGATGATGATGACGATGGCACACAACAACAACATCATCCCACCAACAACAACAACGAAAATAATAACAACAACGACATAACTGCAAACAAAGAAAAAGAAAGAGAGCAGCTAAAGATCTAACCTCATTTGTTCGCTCGATACAATGTCATCATGAGGTCACGTGATGCTAATGTTGTTGTTGTTTTTATTTTTGTTATTAGTATTTTGTTGTTGTTATTTCAATGTTTTTTTTGTTGTTGCTATGACAGTTTTTATTGTCGTTATTGTTTTGTTGTGTTTATATTAAGATGTTTATATCAGGCACATTTGCTGGAGTTAGATGCATTGACGGAGATATTGATGATTTGTCAAAATGCTTCTTCTGTGATTTTGTCGTGTTATTGTTGTTGTTTTGCTGTTGTCGTTGTTTTGATGGTGACGTCATGATGATGCCATTAAGATGTTGTTGCGGGAGGTTGCATTTGAAGTTTTTTCTGCAGCTTCGTTGCGATACAGTGGTTGTCATTGTTGTTGTAGCTGTGATGTTGCGATACATTGGTTGCCTATGTTGTTGCAGCTGATGTTGCGATACAGTGGTTGTCTATGTTGTTGCAGCTGATGTTGCGATACAGTGGTTGTGTATGTTGTTAATGCCGCTTCTGTTAGATTGTCTGGACTTTTTAATTTCAAAATTTTTAGTCTATTGTTGGATGATTTTCTTTTTGGATGATTTATCGTTGCATAACGGAAAGATCGAATGAAAGTTTGTTGCAGTGGCGGGAAGGAAGGATGGAGAAAGTGATGAAGAATGCGAAGATGTTGCTGTAGAGGATGATGATAATGATGATGATGATTATAGTGTTAGTGATAATAGTAGAAATAATAACAATTAACATGTCGTTATAAATAGCGTGGTAATAAACATGATGATGGTGATGATGATGATGATGATGGTGGTGGTGATGATGATGATGATAATGATGATGATAACGATGGTGATAACGATGATGATAATAACGATGATGAGACAAAAGCATGTACCGATTTCATGATGAAATGATTAAAAAATAATTAGTGGGTGTGATGTCGATCGTAGTAATGTAGAAACGGCGTCATCATGACGATGATAACGACAATAATGATGTTACATGGGATGGTGAAGATATTTAAATAAGGCAAATATATGTCTATACACATGCAAACAGACAAAAACTATATTGTGAACATTTTTTAAAAATAGCAGAAAAGAATAAATCAGAGACAAGTGATAAGAATTAGGTTCTGAGTTACCAAAAACGAAAAAGCCAAAAGAGCAATGTTATTTCCATGCATACATATGTAATACACACCACTCTTCACTACACATTCCTCAATTATTGATAACTATTTATTATGTACAAAATACCTGACGTGTGACCAACTCGACCGATTCAACGAACACACCCAGATCTTGAAATTTAACAAGGAATAATTTATTTAACTTAAATTATTTTTGTTAATGTTGTTATTATCATTATTATATTATATTATGCCTATTAGGGCATTATATTATTATATTATTATTTATATCACCATTATAAATAGGATAAATAACAATCAATAAGAAAGCCTAACAGAGGAGGGATGGGCGAATGATGGATTGGCCAGCGATATAAATATTTTTAATTAGCAGGCATCACGTTCAAAAGGAAGCGGAAATTGACGTAACGTAAAGTAACGTAACAAACGTTTGCAGACGTAATTTGGCACTTCATAGACTGCAGTCTTGTTGGCCGGCTTGGCAAATAAAGATTAACGATTCTGCTCCTTCATTGATCTTGAACATTTTCTTCTCTTTTTTATTCAATTACGATTCTCCTCGTTTTTTATTGCACTCAATCTGAGGCTTCGTGTCCCGTCTACTTCTGTTTCGGTTGTAGAAGGAGATGTTAATGATTAATAGAGGAATTTGTATTTATTCGCTGATCGGTCGGCAATCTTATCATCCTCATTTAAAAGGATACTGAATAAATTTTGTGTGGATTGTACTTTATGCGCGCGTGTCAACTCTGTCGCAGTTTCAGATTTATCTTTTCCATATTCCAGACAAAGAAGTTTACTAAGAATGGAATTTAAGGGCATGAAAATTCAGATATTAAAAATTACAAGTCGAAATGCACATTTGCACGATGTGCGCTTGTAGGAGGAGGCCGTTAAAAGTTATTACATCACGTTTCGTGTTGAGTTAGTGTCGCAATTGGAAGAAAAGTGTCTGGCTCAGAGCAAATTGTTCTAATTCATTTAAACGAGGCTTGCCTACTATAATTTCATTTCTCTATTCATCTACTACACTAAACTCTTTCGCTCTCTCCAATCTCTTCTATTTTCTTTCTGTCTCTCTCTCTCTCTGTCTCTCTTTTTCTCTCTCTCTGTATTTCTTTAATTTTTTTTCTAATTGTTTTTTTTTATTCTATTCGCTTTCATTTCATTGTTTTCTAATTTTTTAATGTAAGACAATTATTTATTATTATTAAACTTTTATTATTTTTTATTTATATAAATTACGTTAATTTTTAATATAACTTTAACTAGTAAGGAACAAAAAGTTATATTTGCGAGTTCATATACAATGTTTAAAGGTTTAAAATCACCATTTTCCGTGCAAATGCTAGAATATTTGAATTCTACACCACAGTATCAGTGCAGCTACATGCAATAACGTACTTTAAAAAAATATACAAAATTTTTTAATGTTCGATTTAAAGATTGAAACATTTGTTTGCTCTTTCGATTTTATTAAACAGTAAAAATTCAAATTTACTGTTGCATTCGATAATGCATAAAATTAAACAAAAAAAGTCAAAACTTATCAACCATGATTCATGTTGAATTTTGTTGAAGTCCTTACCGATCACAGGTTGTTATCATACATGCTCCGTTTTGAATGTACGAACGACCTATTTGATACTTAAAATGCACTTGCAAATCTTCTTCTTATTTAATTCTAGAAGGACCAATGCAGTCTTGCCAAACCATGCCAGTGCCCTTCAGGGTCCGGTCCCACTAGGCCTTACCAGTACCGCGTTTGAGAAAGATCCTAAATTTTACGCGAATCCATGTAATATTTTCAGAATCAATCATGCATTCAAACCAAATTTTCTGTTAAAGGAAGAAGCGGTGCTCTCTCGAGTGACGTTGGCGAATAAATATTTTTTATTTGAATTCGAAATTTAATTATCAATTTTTGTTGTATTTTAATTTAATTTTAATCTAATCCCAAAATTATTTTGAATGCACCACTTTCAACTTGAATATCTCAGCAAACCCTGAAAGAGAACTGCTTGTTAGGTGAGCAGGACGCTGAAAGGAACATTTTCAAACAAACTTACACACAGTCACAAATACTTACACACAAACATGCACACCACACACATCTATACATACCTTTATTCACCTACGAAACGCATACACATATAAACACACATGTGCATACATACATGCATGCATTCAAACATACAGACATAAATGCACATACATGCATGCATATATGCATAAATACATACATGCATGCATACATACATACATACATAAATGCATGCATGCATACATACAAACAAGCAGCAGCTCGGACATGAATATAGGATAGCACGGAAGGATTCTCAATTGACGAGGAGTTATAATTGTTGTTTAAATTGCATTACAAGTGAATAATGAGCTATTCTGCTGATGTTCTTTTCCTTCTCCTCTTTTTCTTCTTCATCCTCTTACATCCTCTTTCCTATCTTCCTGTAGACATTCATAAGAATTGTACAACAGATTTCTGATTTTATGAGCATCTTTATCTCTAATGTCTCAGGTTTGGGAGAGGTTGACCAAATTAATTTGTTTAGCATAGAAATGTAATGGAAGTAATTTAAATTTTAAAAATATTTAATGAACATCAGGTAAATATTAAAAAAAAACACGAACAGTTAAGTATAATAATTTTGATGCTTAATTGATTTAAAACTTCATAATTGTCCTGCCATCATATTTGTCAATAGAAATTAAATTGAAACGAAAATTCAATTGAAACGTTCTTATACTGAGCTGTCTGCTGAGAAGTTTTAAGTTTTTAACTTTTTTTAATGCACACGAGCTTCTTTAAATTATTGACGGCGTTAAACTGGCGGCAAGCGACGAACGAATGTTCGGGAAATGACTGGCAGTGCAATCTGCCAATGTCTCAACAGCAGGTTTTGAGTTTTGTAAGCGCTGCTTTTTCATTTTGAAATTTCAGAGTCAACTTCAAGGTTTCTGATCTTTTGAGAATTTTCACCTCCGATGTTTGCATGAGGGTAGTTAACATTAACGCTGATGGTAGATAATAATGGACGATACGAAGCGTTGATGACGAATGTGTCTGTTTTTAAGCAGTGATGAATCCGTTTTTGATAAATTTTAAAACCGATTTATAATTTTGGATGAAATCTATGTTTTTCGTGCAAAATTATACTATATTTGAAAAGTTGTGATGGACTGCATTATAATATGCGTTAACAGAAATTTGGTTGTCTCCAAATTCATAAAGGTGGAAAAGTTGGCACATCTGACAGAAATGAAACTCTGGTCACCCTCTTCGTTTTGGGATAGGATGGGATGGGAATGGGATAAGATGGGATAGAAGGAAATGAGATTGGATCCTGTGTGTTGCGTGCCGTTTATCCCGCTGATTTCAAAGCACTTCTGTCAAATTCTGACAGAAGTGCTTTTGTGACAGAAGTGTCAAATGAGTGTTTAACATTTTTCATATTGCTAAATAACTCAAGGAAGTACGAAATCACATAAAAAATTATGTATCGCAAAATTTAGAAATTGTGAATGGTTTAGAATTATTTGTGGCTAAATGAAAAAGTTATTTCTTTTTAAAATGAAATGTTCTCATTTTGTAACACTTTAAAGTTAAAAATGTGCTAGCGCAAATTGATAACTTTAGTGACAAAATTTTAAAAAAAATGACGTTTAAAATAAGCAAGCGATTTAACAAATAAAAAAATTAATTAATATAAATACAAAACATTGAATAAACTGAATTAGGCGAACTCATTCATAAAGACGTTGCTCTAATCCAGTTAACAAGAGATAAATGCCTTGCATAATAATGATGGATGTCCGGTATGATTGGCTGCTGGGTTCGTAATTAACCAATAAATAAACATTGCCTATGAAGACGACATTATTTTGTTTTATTTGCTTGGAGGGTGTATGTATTTGTATCTGTATGTGTGTATGTGCGTTCGTGTTTATATGTGAGTGTGTGTATGTTGGCGTGTGTGCGTGTGTTTGTGTATGTATATGTGTGTGTGTGTGCATGTGTAGCTCAGCACACATCCCAACACAAGTGCAAGTCTCTATCTAGAATAATTACATTGTATAAATGCTTGTGTAGGGCGATAATAAAATAATAAATGAATTATTATCTACCCAAGGTGCTAAAAGTGTTATTACATAATTGAAACATCTAAGTAGGTAGGCTTTCCTTGCATTGACGACGAGCGTGCGTGTGTGTTTGTGTGTGCGTGCGTGTGTGTGTGTGTGTGGAAGTGTGTATTCATGTGTGTGTCCGTGTGGACATGTCCGAATGATATGTGTTACTTTTCCTAATTTGAATAGATAAAAATTTATGTTCGAACTCTTGTGCGTGCATGTATGATGTTATATGTTATACGATGTACTCACACGTGCACAAACACATATACACACATATATAGCAAAATAACAAAAATGTATATTACGTACACACACACACACGCACACACACACGCACACACAAACAAACACGTGCGTTGGTGATGATAGAGACCAGCGGGCACATACATTTTTATACGCTAGTATAATAATGCTAATATTTCGCGTCATTAATATGAGCGCAGACGATAAAAAATTACCGATGCAAATGTGATTATCATTGGATTCATTCATTATTTATCAACGTTTCTATGGCTGATAGCGGTCATCGTTAGTCGTCGTTGTTGTTGCTGTTGTGTGGCAGTTGTGGGGTGTGACTGATGTGTGGCGTGTGGCTGTTGTGTGATGTGGCTGTGGTGTGGTGTGGCTGTTGTGTGGTGTGGCTGTTGTAGGATGTGGCTGATGTGTTGTGTGGCTGTGGTGTGGTGTGGCTGTTGTGTGGTGTGGCTGTTGTGTAGGATGTGGCGATGTGGCTGTTGTGTGATTTGTCTTATTTGTTGTGTTGTGTTATGTAGTTGTTGTGTTGTGTGGCTGTTGCATAGTGTTATGTGGCCGTTGAGTAGTGTTAAGTGGTAGTTGTGTTGTTCTTGTAGCTGTTGTTGTGTTAGTGTTTTGCGGTTGTTGTTGTGTGGTCGTTAGGGTAAAACTGTGTAGTTGACGTTGTTTTGTGTTAGTATTGTATAGTCGTTGCGGTTTTATGTTTCATTTTCTTTTCGTTGTTTGTGGTTCTTTTGTTTTATTAACTGTTGGTTGTTTTTTATAAGTATTCTTCTTAAGTTCGTTGTTGTTGGGTGGTTTTTTGGATGCATTTGTTGTTGCCGACGATTCAACTGATGAAATTTGAATGTTTATAACATTATGCAGCATTGTTGATGTCTTGTTGTGGAGCTTTCAAAATTATTCCTTCAACGACCTTTCCAACATTTCGCTCATTGTTTTGTTTGATTAATGACTCAAATGAGCAATAATTGATCAGCTCATAATTTGATTAACGAAGCGATGCCACAGAATATAACGACATTTTGCAATTATTTGCTGGTTGCAGGCAGGATGTATATTGGGCAATAAATTAAACGCATGATCAAATTAGGAAGAATTCATGATCTGAAACAATATTTTTAACTTTTTAACAGTGTGAGTTTTAAACTTTCAAACGCTTTCTGTAAATAGTACGCGCGTTTTTATCTGAACCTAAGCGGCAAGAATAGAAGGCTGATTAATGACCAAATGACCAACCAACTTACCAACCAACCAAACAACCAACCAGCATAGGGGCAAAATTGTAACACAATCAACTCTTAATCAGCAGCTGCATGGAATTTTAGATAGCAACGAAATGACATTCTATTTTAATGAGGCTATTTCAGATTGAGCACATACTTTGTTTTTTGTACCTTTGTATACCAAAATATGGGCAAACATTTTGTGTAATTTTATGTATAAATATTTTCAATGGTTTATTAATTTGTTTTAATGAACATTTTCATTACTATTATGGTATGATAAAGAGATATGCAGAGAGCGTTTTAATGACTCCTCGATGTTTAAATTGGATAAGTAGATATATCAAAATAGATGGATACATCACATAATAATATAATATGATAATAACTAAGTAAATAATTGATCACCATTTTTCATTTTTCTCATCACCAACATCCTCATTATCATTATCATAATCATTACAACCCTTACAATCGTCATCACAATCATCATAATCATCATCATCATAATTAAAGCAGTCACTATTGCCAACCAAAACCTCCATCAATAACATCAATCAACAACAAAAACAATATCATCATTGTTAAAAGCATCACCACTGACATCATCATCATCAACAACAACAACAACTACGTCATCATCGTCCTCATTATCATCAACGTCATCTTCCTTGACATCAACGTCATCATAATTCTGACTAGGTGTGGTTTCAGAACAGAAGAGCAAAATGTCGCAAGCAAGAGAGCCAGCTACAGAAAGGTTGGTGGTGTGGTGTGGTGTTGGTATCAATTTGAACGTAACTTACCTTGTAGAGTGATGATTTAAATACTCTATTTATTTACTGGTGCCCTGTGTCCTATTTTGGATATTATCCTTATTAATCATCTTCAACCATTCGTTTACCTTTCATGTTTCAATCTGCCTTCATGATACATGTAACTTTCAGTTATTTCAAAATTTCACGCTTTCGCCGAACTCTTTCTGTAATTTTAACCAGAAATTTTAATGTTGTTGTTGTTGCTTTTTTACTTTTTTAAGTTATCATTAAGATTATTTATAATAAAATTTGATATGATATGATACCACCAAACATTGTGGAACAAAAAATAAAGGCAATTCTTGTGAATATTTCAAAAATATTAATAACAAGCTGAAGCTGCTCTGGTAGTTGTAGTAGTGACTGGGAAATTAGTTGTAGTATAGTCTGATCTCCTTATAGCGAACCTCTATACAGCGGAAATTTCTATATAACGAATTTTTCATGTTTCTTGGAATTTTACATATAAAGCACTATCTATAAGATGAAATTAATTTCTCTATGACGAACAGAATTTATAAAAGTTAAAAAAATATCTGATCAGCAAACATTCAATAAATTGATGTGATGTGATCAGTGCACTCCTTTAATATCATAAAACCATATTATTGTTTTTTGTCCTAGTATTCTAGTAATTTTTGCGAGTTCTACTTCGATTAATTTCAATGGAATCAAAATCATCGTCGCATGAAACAAAGAATAAGTTTTCCTTTTTAAATTTATTTTTTACAATCATATCATAAACTATTATTTTCTGTCATCAAAATAAACAATTAAGAGGTTGTTTTTCATAAATAAATTCTATATAAAGAAATTTCTATATAACGAATTTTTATCTTGGAACCATCAAATACGTTATACGTAGGTCCGACTGTTACAGTAGTAATATTATCAATACTAGCAAGAGTAATGAAATAAGAATTAACAAACTATAATAAATGTTGTAATAGATTTTTCTGCAATTGTAGATAGTACTGCAAATAAAGGAGTCGGCATCAGTAATAATAGGACTACGGTTGTTACTGCAATTATTAACATCTTAGGAGGGCAGAGTCGTCGTGAAATACAAACTAATGCCGAGAAGAGACATTAAGGCTACTCCCGTGAGAAATTATAAGAGGAGGACGTGTGGGCATCTGATTGGTTCTGACATTTCTTGACATCTCCAGCAGATCAATACATCAGCGTCCCACATAAAAGCGTCATCCTTCACGTTATTTGTTAACATCCGCGACCTCCGTCCATTGCCATTATTGCTGTTATTATCAAAGTTGTTTTTATTTTTACTATTATTTATTATTATTATTATTGTTGTTGTTGTTGTTGTTATTGTTATTCAAATTATTATTTTGTACGTTGTTCTTATTAAATTCGCTCTGGACATTGGGTGTAGTTGTTATTCGTCGTTAATTTTGAGACGCCAGTTCTTCTTGCTTTTGTTTCATTGTTGATGTGTGTTTGATTGATGTTGCTGTTGTTGTTCGTATCATATAATGTTATTGATGTCTTGTTGTTAGTAGGTCTATATTCGTTGTCATTTGTTTATGTTCTAGGTATTAATGTTGTTAATGTTATTGTCACTAGAACTGTCAAGTTAATGTTGTTGTAGTTTGTTTAATTCGTTACACGTTATTGTTGTGATGTTTGATGATGTTATTTTAGTTGATAATTTTGTTAATGGTGTTATATTAGTTGATGTTATTTGGGTCGATGTTGTTTGCTATTTCTATTATTATTTTCTTCCCTATTTATTGTCTTTTAAGATGAAAAAACGCTTCATCGGCTGAATCTAAAAATTTTTTATCAGCAGTAGAAACAAGGAGAAGCATTGAAATCTTTAATTATCTTAATGATCGTTTTTACAGAAAAATACCCGACTTGATATTTTTTTAAATTAAAAGATTTATCGGATTAAAAATAGAAAAACGCTCCTACATTCATGCGCATTGTGTGTATGTGTGTGTGCATCTAATCGTGAAAGAAATGAATTTAGGAAGTATTAAAGGCTCAAGGCATTTACTGTTTTCAGAAAAATTGCACCAACTTACAAATCTTTTCTCCATTGACTCTAATCTCTTTCCCACGCTCACAAATTTTATTATACTTATTGGCATGATATGTTTACAAATGATTAACATTTATGAAACTTATATATATATATATATATATATATATATATATATATATATATATATATATATATATATATATATATATATATATATATATATATATATATATATATATATAAATATATATATA